AAGCGCGAAGCCGAAGTGCTGAGAGGGTTGCATAAACATCCAAAATTCTCCCTTTTTTCTTGGTGATTGTCTTCCGTCACCTGGCATGCAAATCCCTTGCGATGGCCAATGAAATCTACACTTTCTAGCCGCAAAGCGCGGCAAACGATGGGTATGAAACCTAAAGCAAGGACCATCTCAAAGTGTCCATGCTCCGTACATGAGCTAGAGACGCTAGAGACTCAAGTCCTAGCACACCCTTAATTTAATAACCCCTAGAAGAGTCCCCTATATAATCCCCTATATTACTCCCTTTGAGGAGTTTAGACTACAGCTCACATGACGACCATCTCCAATCGCCCAGGTGATGGCGCTATGGCGTAATTGCTTCCCATACTAACCAAGACTCCCCAGAGAACCCGAAATCGTGGAAGTTAATCTGAAAACTGCCAACACTAGTTTTGCAGGGGCTTAGAGGCCCTTGATAACGAATTGAGGGTGAGTGCAGGGGATAATTGAAAAACAAGAACCAATTTGCAGATCTCCTTTTTGCTATCAAATGTCACGCAGGAATTGCTCTTCAATTAGGGATCTCCTTTTTTTGGTTTCTAGATGTTTAATATTCTCAAAAGGCTGATGTAAACCAATGTATAGAAGGATAAGACGGATCATGAGTTTGGACCATTTCCTGGAAGTCAATTGTGCTTTTATGTTTATGGTTTTCTAATGTGGGGTGGAGGAGGGTAAAGCCTCTTCTTAGGGAGGCTTTGTAATCCAGCGGGGAACGTCGTTTCTTCTGAGAGGAGAGGGATTAAACATCCAGGCGCTGTCCCAAGCATAGTCGAGATGTTATGCTGCTGCAGGCTTGTTTGTGTAGGTCCAAATTCCATAGTATGCAACTTGCTCTCAGAAGCCGCAGCAAGTTGCTCGAGTGGCTACAGTGAAATTCATGAAAGTTCTTGTGGGAAAAGAGCTCATTGGCTTGAACACATCAACAACGAAACTGAACCCTGAAGGCAAGCATGCTGCATCAAAATCCTACAACTCAAAAACAGAAGGTTTGGGTCACTTAATGGAAATGCTGTGAAAACACGACAGCTTGCACAAGGAAAGCAATACGCGGAGCTTTAAAACCACCAAGATGCAGAAATTGATCATCACCTGCCTGGAAGGAAAAGTTCTTGGAGAGGCTGCCATCTGAAAACCAGTAGATGGCGGTTATGATGCCTCAGCCGCGCGCAAGGCGATCGCAGCTTCTCGTGTGAGCAGGAGAACACTATAGCAGCAGTACTATAAAAACCGTCCGTCGCAGTAGCTTTAAGTACAAGCATACTATGAAAATCACAGCCGTCGCTCGAGAAAGAAGCACGACCATGGCCATAAAGGTGATAGACAGACGCCTTTGCAAGTCTTTAGCTTGAAGAGTTGTTACTAGGTGAGAAGTTTGCAACATACTGGTAGTGGTCAGAATTATCATAACCGCTGTTTTCAGACTACTACTTGTTTCCAGTAGCAGCAACCAAGACCTGACAAAACGCTGGAAAAGCAACAAGAAGTGTTGCCACTAGCGCAACTCACCAGACGATTCATGGAAGAAAAGGAAATTGATTTCAGCCGCAATATGCAATATTTGACGCCCGCATTCTGACTAAAGTGATCCAGGTGCAAGGTTAAGCAGTTTGATCTGTAGTTACGTACAACTTACGGCAGAGAAAGCTGGGCTGAGATCACAAGGGCCAGAATCTCCTCCTTGAAATCGAAAGAACTTTGCGCAACTAGGACATCTCGGCCAAACGGGAAGTCTTGGACAGTAAGCACTGAAAGTAATGAGAAGCGCCCTGGGTGATGACAACGTGTGCTTGATTTGTAGGTCCTGCATGCAACAGCGCGGAAGCAAGCCGAAGAATAGTCTGCTGCAAAGTGAGATGCGAAACTCGTCCAGAAAGCGCCAGTACCTGCGAAACGCAGAATTTGGAGACACTGCTGCAAATCAAACCTTTTTTGGGGGGCCATGGTGGTTCTTGTCGATGCACTGGCTCAACAACTGCAGTATCGGCAAGCAATGTGTGCTGAGTTTTGCCTTGGTTTGCAACCACTTGCTTGTCAGTTGTGAGACCACCGCACCTGATCTTTACTTCGGCAACAGAAATGCTTACGGTAGCCTAGGTAGCCCACGCTTTCCAAGCTTTTGCTTACGACACGACTGTGCTGTTGTTTCTGCCTACGCTGCTTACACCGGGTTGCCGCAGCTGCTGCAACTGCAAGGACTGGTTTGCCTGGGACATAAACAACAACACCAACAAAAACAACAGCTTACGAAGCTTAAGGCAACAGAATGCTTACGATACCCTGCGAAACACGACACTTTGCTTACGCCAAACCTTGTTTCTCAAAGCCCCTGTCTTTTCTAAATGAGGGAGGTTTTGATCTCCGCTCGGTTGTTCTCCAGCACATGACCCTCAAAATTTTCTTGGGGTTTGGGTGTCCCTTTTGATCCACGAGTCCATCAGCCAGAGACCTTCAATGCGTCCTTGGACCTGAGGCTTTGGTCCTGCTCCCTTGTTTCTAGCTCGTGTGTCGTGTTGGGTACTCAAGGCTTCGTCACCTCTGCAGGTTGGAGTTGCCTTTTTTAGTGGCCAGGTGTGTCTAGCTTCAGGATTGAGGGCTTAGGGTAGTGCTCTCGGTCCATGCGCTGAGTGTCACGGTTTAAGGCGTTGACAGTTGTACACGCTTGTTCCTTGCTCGGTCGCTGTGCGAAGCTTTTTGGTCTGGGATTGGGGCTTGCCCGTTCGCTACCCTACCACTCTCGGCTCTCCGCAGGCTCGGAGAGTATGTGTGGAACCTGCACATTTGTCGCAGGCTGCAGTCTAGTGGATTTGCGGGGTCTTGATGTCGTGGACTTGTTTGTGATGCGTCCAAACAACTGGCGCCCTACTTGCCACCATCCAGGATGGAACCTTCTCCACGGATTCCACCAAATCCTAGTTTGATGCTGGGGCCAGTTCGCAGCGCATGCTGTGTGGGCCGCCGGATTCTCCTGAGCACAGGTGCCCGTATAGTCCCAAGTATGCACGTGCAAAGGTTGCACATGCCGCGAGGGTCCGGGATTGGTCCAATCAAGGGTCAGCCTTCAACCATCATTTGTTGCCACATGCTTTCCCGCATCTGCTACACTTCTGGCAATATTTGACCACATTTTCCAGCAGACTGGAGCAGTACCAATTTCTTCCTGAGCAAGGCATGGTGTCCCACTTGTTTACAGGTGGCCCTTGTTCTCAACCAAACGATGCTATGAGATCTCTTGCTTCCTGGGCTTGTGTACATCATGATACTAATCATTTCCGCGGGTCCTCTACCAGGAACAGAGCAATCATCAAGCGGTCCGAGCTTAGAGCCATTTCGTCGGCTCTGCGTTGGTTGTCTGTGAGCCGCATACCTGGAGGCATAGTACTCCTTGCGGATGGCGTTTGCTTTCTTTCAATCCGGGCAATGAGGACCTATGGCAGCTCGCAAAGCAGGAACTGCAACAGTTCGCTTCCCGCTTTTTTCGCCCATCACTGCCGTTGGTGGCAACGGAACCGAATTCAGAGGATATCCCCATCAACCAGCTCTTGGAGGGCATAGAGGACAATGAGCTGCGAATCCCTGAGTCATCTGCTGAAGACTTGACGATGTTGCATTAGATCACCCAGTTCCTGCAGCTCTTGTGCAGACTTTGGCCTGTGGGGCCGATTTGGCTGCTAGCTTATGCTTTTAAAAATTGTACGATGGTTTTCATCATTGCACATGCACACATATGCTCATTATGAATTCCAACGCAGGTGACGGTATGTCTGTCCCATGCGGCGAGGTGGATAGCTGATTGCGTGACAATTGCTCGTGCTCTTGCCATATTCCAGATGCTGTTGTATAGAATTCTCAACTGTTAAGAGTAGAGGTTACTCAAGCGTACATTTCCCTTGTTAAGCACGGGATCTTCAAGCCTCTGATGGGTTGGCCTGCTGGGTCTGTAGATGTGACATGACTGCCCACGGCTTTGGATAGATTCTTGGCTAAGCGGCTAAACCTATCCGAGAGGCGGCGCATCTCTCTCGGATTCTCTCAGCCTTTGCCTTTGAATTTGTGGTGCACTTCTCGAACAACGAGATTCGCTCAACTTGATGGCTCCTTCCCGCTGCTGCTAAGGGCCGCTGGGGGAGATTCGGATCTCATCATGCATCCGACAAGTCCGTTCTTCAAAGCTCCAAAACAGCGCGCCACAGTTTCTAGCACACTTTGCAAAACAACTCATCCAAATTGCAGGGCACTTATCCCAAACTCTGAGAGTCCCCAGCCAAAGTAGCAGAACACTGCAGGCTGACAGCATGTGCTGCATGCGCTGAAAACTCATCGTAATCTATGGGGCACCACATGCTGGGCAGGATCTTGAGGTACAGCAGGCTGAACTTCTCCTGCATTTCTGTGACTCTGGTGTTTCTGTTCACATCTGGAAAACCGTGCAATTCCAGTCTACGTCACATTAACTAGAAGCTTTGTCCTAATTTGGGGCAACACCTTGGGTAACATCCAATCTCGACCAAACCCAAACCCCCAATCCTTGAGAACTGCACTCAGAAGCCTCTGAAGCTCTTGACCTGGCAACCGCGGAGCTGTCCTGTACGTGAAGGTACTTCCAATCCTTTCAAGCCGAGGTCGGAGTGTGAACATGGAAACTGCTACAACCAGCCATCATGACCTAGTGTATAGCACCAATATCATTCAGACGCCAACTCTTGGCTTAAGATGCCGTGCGAGATACCTTCAAGGTTCGCCAGTGCACGAAGAACTCGCCAACCCAGACCACAGAGCAGAAGATGATCACAAGATTCCGAGCCAGGTTCCTCATGTGTTGGCTTTCAGCTTGTTTGAGGTGGATGCTGAGGTCCATGAAATGAGTGGAAAAAGATTGTGACTTTTACACACCGGGTCAGCAGGTTCTAGGATACATGCTCCGCCATAAAAGTGTACGGTGCAGTGCTCATCAAGCAACAGCCAAAAGCTGCAGGCGCGAGTTCCTATCAGTAAACCTCGAAACTGCATTTCCTCTAAAACCCATGATGAAAACTTCTGACCCTCCCTGCTTATGTCAGATGTGCGTTGTAAGTGGCCTTCCAGCAAAGCAGCTGTTCGAAAATGTGAGATGAACTCGAGTCATTCAATGGCATATGAATGAACACCACAGCCCTCGGAACTCGTTGATGGAAAGCGCGGACTTCAGAAATCGCGGGTAGATGAAGAAGAAACGATCATGTCATTCAAACAATCCCCACAGGCGCGTGGACTTTCCGCAGAGCTGGTTCTCTGCTGTTTGTAGTGGTTAATTAGATTACAGCCAGAGACATAAATTTCTTTGAGCTTCGAAGTCAGGACAACAGCCTTGCTACTCAAACTGTATGCACTGGCTATCACTCGGGCAACTTCACTCAGCTGGCTGGGTAAAAAGGGCCATGGTGAAGAATGTCTCTAGCCCAACAACGACCACTGCAGGTGTAACTGCCAGGAGAAGCCAGGCGGCAAGCCCTGGAAGGCTTCTTGCGGGCAGTAAACAGATCGCTCCTTAGCTCGCGCAATGCATGATTGTGGGGGTGGAGACGTGCTTTCCTGAAGCTAGGAAGGCAAGACTTATCCCAGCTGTAGACTTGAACAAAACCTCACCCTTAACGATGGCCGTCGACTTTGTCTTTTGATTCGACTCCATAGCTCTACATGCTGAGCCAGGTAACCAAATCGTGGCCAGAGCTTGAACGCGACACGACAGCACCCTCCCTCCAGGCCTTCAAAATCAAGGGCCTCTGAAAAATCAATTTTAGCCTTCCTAGCTGCTGAGGGCAGAAAAAGTAAACATCCCATACATTGTGGCAGGAGACTCCCATCTGCCAGACACTCATAGCTGGTCTGGTGCTGGCAGGATAATTAAATTTCCCAAGTCAACCCGCAAGTCAAAAGAAGCTACAGCAGCAACACCTTGTGCCGAACGCCTGCTGCTAACACCAGCCGGGGGCTCAATTTCCAGTGTGAGACGCTGGTTCGGATCCTCACTGCACTTCGTGACCTGCTTGCATCAAGCAGTGTTGTTTTGCAACTATTACTGCACTACTGCACTCTCCGGAATGCTTTCCAAAGCTGGGGCCGGGTGAACTTGGGTCCAGGCCTCCATCGTGGCCCTTAAGAGGTTTGCCAGAACAAGCTGATTCGAGGCCACGGTCGCGCGGACCAGTGTGTTGCTGTTGGCGCGTCCCCCTGGGCGTTACGCTTAGCATGCAGGCTACGGAGCACATCCTGGAATACCACTATAATCCAGCACAGCAGGGCATGGTGTATGCATAGCATCCTGGATTGCAGGGCTCAGAGCCCTCAGCTGCCTGTTGACACCTTTGAGAGAACACAACCTGACCGCCACATGCCCTTGCCTGAAAGAACATACCCCCTGGCAATACTCGAGTCGCCACTCTGGGCACATTAGGCGCAATGGCATCCGGGGCAGCACACGGTCGAGCTGAGACCGGGACGGCAGAGGTGAAAGAGTTGCAGCAGGAAGTAGAAGGCGGAAGGAATCATGCACGATACGATGACCTGTGTGAAGTGCCGATTTGCAATCAGAGGCTCTGGGGTGCAGGGTGCCGGAATTGCCAGGTTTACAAGATCTTGCTATGCCAATTGCAAAAGAGCCGCCAGAAGAACGTAGTTCATCACATCCGCCTCAGGAACGCCACCAGACACCAAAGACACCAAAAAAGATGCTAACAACCCTCAACACGCATGTTTTAGCACCCTACACGCGTCCACACAAAGTGAAATTTGGAGCACATCCCCCCTTTCGTGCAAACGATCGGAAACCACTTCAGTGTCATCAAAAGCTCGACCGTGTCATATCCCACAATCTCAATCCGTTGGTTCTATAGTGCGGTGCAGCAAACCCAGGGGCTTAGGGTTTAGGGTTTGGGGCTTAGGGTTTAGGATTTAGGCTTTAGGGCTTAGGCAAGCCCTTCGTTTCCAACGTGGAGTTGCGTCCTCGTTCTGGATCGGCATCTTGCAAAACATCCAGGGCAAGAGACAGGGCGCTGTCCTCCGTGGGATCTGGCTTTTTCAGGAAACTAAGCTTAGCAAATTCAGTCCGCTGGGTATTGATACCACGCTTTATGATGCAATGCAGCTCTTGCCTCTCTGGTGGACACTTGTGCTGAAGACTTATGATCTCGGCGAGTTTAAAAATGGCTGCAGAATGGGCCCCGGTAACCAAAGGCGACCATGCCAGGAGCAACAGTTTGGGTTTGACAACGCTTGCAAAAGCCGCCAAATCCATATCAGGAACAATGACGCGAAGCTGGTCAATCGCTATACCCTATGACCTTCTTTAGCCAAGTAGCACCAATTCTGTCCACGTGGATACGTAGACAAAGCGTCCCAACTCCTTGCATAACGTTTGAGGTCTTCCATGATGGCCCGCAGCGGGGCATCATGGAAGAAGCCTTGCTCTCATGGCGCCGGATATTCAAAAAGAAAATATTGTGTTGGGAATTAATGCTGAGCCTCAAGGCGGTTTTGGGAAGCTTGAGATACTGCAGACCACATCAGTCGTAGCCATTGGAACGCTGTGGAATGTAGGACGTGGACGTGTTAAATGCAGAATTGGAAGAATGACACAAATAGCAGTGGTAATGTGTTGAGCTTCCCACTAACAAGCTGGCTTTACTTGGATGGGAACTGGGAAGCATTCAAGCATATAAGTTACCCTGCTGATGTTTGTGCAGAGGAGACACAAAATGGTAAGAGCAACGAGGATACCATGTTGGTGATAGTGGTCTGAGCCATGCTGGTACAAATGCCCAGCGACACTGGCAATACCAAAGTAACAGGAATAAAGCAGGAAGGATTACAAATATTCATGTAGCAAACAAGGTAGAAAAAGTTCTAATAAATCTATTCGCCAAGCAAAACCAGTAACCATGCCGGTAAAGATATTTAAACAACTACTCATGCTGGCAACAGCTGAACGAAAACAATGCGTAACACAGCTACGCGCATATCCCCCAAGGCCGGAGGCCAGGGGCGTCTAGATCTGGAACCCTTAGACCAGGAGTAGCGGCCGCGATTCGGCAGTTCTTGGATCCGTGCTTTTTTCCATTCGTTTGAGGCGGGTTTAGTTGGATGGCCGGGATTCGCGCGGGCTGGTGCGAGGCCTGGCTTTGTTCTGAGAGCACCTCAACACTCCACGATGTGGTTTTTCCTCTTCCGCCTTGCTGCAGGCTTTAAACCACCCAGACAATCCGCCCCAACCTGAACCCGGCTGGTGCGACGCCCGGCGGGGCACAATCGAAAGCACGAAACTCAACTGTTTCTGTTTCTGGAGGGGCGGGGGCGGCAGTGGGGCAGGGAAGGGAGCGGGGTGGGCGCCGGAGAGAGGGAGGGCAGGAGCGGGCCGGGGCGGGGGGTAATTGGGAATCCCTCCTTTGGGAGGCTCCTTAGTACTTGCCTGCGCTCCACCTTGCATTGCAATACTTGCCCGCCGGCGTTTGGAGTCCTGCCGTAGCCATGCTTCGGCCGTGCCAACCCGCTGCCCTGCTGCAGCTGCTTCTGAGCCACAAGAAAGGCCCCGGCTTTTCGAGCACGCTTCTCTGCGGCTCTCCTCTACCCTTGCCGAGGCGGTCTCGCGTTAGCAATTAAAGTATCTAAGAACTATATAGGAAAAACATCAACGGTCCGAACCACCACCAGAGAACCGCAGCACCAAAGGAAAAAAAACACAGCAAAGGCTCCCAAAAGCCTGGCCAGAAGCAAGGCATGTAAATTTAGCTTGGACCCTTTATATGATATGCATATATATATATATCTATGTATATGTATTCCTTTGTACATGTGTATATATATATACACATACATATGAGAATCTTTCCCCCTCCCCCCAAGGTTGGCTCACTCGGCTCCTCTCGCGCAGCGCCGGAGGTCGCCAAAGCTTTGCTGATGGTGCTGTGCATCTGCAGACCCTGGACCAACCTTGCAAAAAACACACGATCTAAACCGGCAGGTGCAGTGTGCGAGATTGTGCAACTTCTGCGCATTTCTTGGAGCAGTGAAAGCTTTCCGTTGGAGTTTGATGACCCTTGCGCTGAGACGCTCGGCTGGAGAAGTCTAGACTCGGCAAGGTGGAAAGGCTTGCGTTGCGGCCTTTGCGCATGCCAATCAGTGAGGCAGCTTGAATTCGCACCCCGTTTCATAACGCCATCTGGCCCCAAGGGGTGAAACAACTGAAGTGCGGAGCCCCACTCCCTGGATCCTGAGTGCTCAATCAACTCCTTCCACCTTGCCACCTTGCGTCCATAAAATCTTGAATGAAATAAGGTGCCCCGAATGCTAGCTCTGAAAATCTTCAGCCCTTTCGACAAGAAGCCCCTGGTCAGAATCGCTCCTCTCGGAGTATAGGTCAAGGAAGGAAACTAAACCGCCAAGTCCAAACCTGCATGAGCTTTTGGGGCTGCAAGGGACGCAATGCAGATTGGCGCTGCCAAGCTGAGCCGGTTCCTTGGCCACTGGCGGACGCCAAGAGAAGCAGTAAACCATGCAAGCACTAAACGAACTAAACGCAGCGGAGGCGGTAGCCGAGCGGCTCACAATCCCTACAAGTATGCCTAGTTTGCCTATACAGCTTCAGTCCGGGAACCCTATAATGTCGGTAATGGGCTCGGGCACACAAGCGTGACACTCTTGCAAAGAAGAGGAACAGGTCAACCTGAAAACGTGCGAAATGACCAGGCATGTGTCAAGATTATGGAACTCCACATGCCCGTTCAAGCCAAGGTACACCGCTGAGTTCATCCCAGCCTTGGATAGCCTGAGTTTGGTGTGGTATGGCGGGCGAACATGTAGCCACCGGGTCAGTCCGGACTACGAGAGCTAGTTGGCCCTTGACCCCCTTCTTCAAGCAGCATGCGCTACAAGTACCAACGTCCTATAAGAGAGAACCCGAGGAACAACTACCCAAAGTATAATCTACGCGGCTTCAAGATCCAGCGTTCAAACGGATGCTTTCACTCAACTTCTCGTTCTCATGTTGCCTTGCTAGGCCGATTCCTGTCCCATAAGCTCACTGCAACTTCTGGCCGTTCTGGCCCAACTCTGCCTCTGCCCGGGAGCATTGCTATGATGAGGAATTGGACGAAGGCCTAGGCCGGTCAATTCCAGAATTGCTGCTAGCTGCTAGGTGACCTTACTTGCTTGTACTGCGCCTGTGTATCAGCCTTTAGAGAATCACTCTGCAGCATCTGCGCGAGACTTGTTGCACACAGTATGTCTCCCCCTGAAAAAACCTTCCAGGAAATCCAGAGCAATAGCACTACAAAACACAGCAAACCAAGGGAGCCACACTTTCTGCCAAGCGACGGGGACGAAGCACTCCACGAAGAGTATCGCAGTTGACGCGCATTGCTTGCAGGTTGTGTAGGCGAAGTAACTCCTCAAAATAGGGCGGAGATGGAAGGGCGAGGCTGATGCGTGGTGGGAATTCAATCACTTTCGGCCATCTAACGATCGTTTTTTGCAAGGGGATCCCTGGGCTTAGCATCTGCGCTAGTGGCAGAGGATTCCCGGGCTGCAGCGTCTCCGCGAATCGTGCCTCCCGACTCGATTGCTTAGCGCTCGCACATGCAATAGAAACAGGAAAGGGGAGGAGACTCATCTCCTCACGTTCGCACCTTTGAAGGTGAAAGCCAAATCTCCAGGGACCCTGACAGAAGCTGATCAATCCCAGCTTCCCAGTCTTTCATGAAAACCACCCCTGTCACACTCCTGGGACCTCTTGTAAACGTCAGGATGCACACAGATTAGGCTGAATTCCGCCGATGATATACCCATAGTGCCATTCTGGCACGGACGCCTCCTACTACCCCTAGCTGTCGTTCATTGCCGCGGGTCTCGTACTTGGTGTAGCCTTCGATGCCTTGGTGAACTTGTAAGCAGCTTCAAGGGCTTGCTGCTGCTTGGTGCTACATGCAAAAGCAAACCAATGTGTAAGACAGCTTGCGAATGCAACCCAATGTAATTAAACAAGCCACGGAGGCAGCGAGGTTGAGTTCTCCCTTCCAATGAGCCGGAGAACGGGGTCTGGCTAGCACTTGGAGCTCGAAAATCAATGGTGGCAAACCACAACACGGCCATGTCGCTCAAGACACCTCATCACTATCGCACAAAGCTTATTCCCCCCAACGCCGAAGCCTTGACACCCATGCAATCCTAACCCCCAGCCAAGTCGCAAGAAGTGCAAGCCACACCGCGGTTGTTCTTGAAGCACACGTTGTTTCCCAGACCTCTTTTGATGTGAGGACTTGGCAATCGCGGTTCCAGGTCCAAGGGACACTGGTGTGCCAGCTTTTAGAAGTAACATAAGAAAGGCGCCAACAAGCAACAACCCCAATTGCCTTGTGTCAGCAATCAATATGGCGCTGTTGCGTCTTACTCACGACTCATGAAGAATACGTTGCTCATTAGAGTGCATGCAACAATCTTAAAAAAAGGTCATGCAACTTAGGATGTAACTTCCTGGTCTCAGCGTGCTCAATCATTGCAAGCATCCAGAAAAAATGAGATGACTTCGCCCTCCAACGATATGGACCGTGACATGTGTGGTAGGTGACCGGAGATTGCCGGCGATGCACAAAGATGTTCTAGAAGCAAGTGGAAGTTTTCACCGTGGTTCCAGCAAATTGGAAAACATTGAAGAGTCTAGTCGCCACGGTCAAACCATAGCACCACGATCCACCAAAGCTAAACCCTTAGCCCGCGTGACGTGCTGAAGAGTGGCAGGCTTCCTCGGGCACGCAGCGCTGGAACCTGGCCAGTAGCCAGGCAAGATCCGTAAGTCACTGTTGCCTCCCCCAACCACTTAGAGATCACTCATCATGTAAATGGACTCTCTGGAATCCCCTGGAGCCTGGCACGAGAAACGTTCGCAGCCCCTCCGATCGGCCAGCGGGATGGTGAATCCAGCAAGGATTGAAAAAGTCATGTGGGTGTTCTCAAAAACTCTCTCGTTCCCACATGCCGTCTGCGCGGAAAATGCAGCTTCCTTTCGCGAATCCTGTCGCAAACTCTCGCAGAAGCATATTTGAAGCAAAAGCCCATCATGAAACGCAGAAGCTATGTCGTCTCCCGTAGCTTGAAAGGCTCGGAGTGTGCTCGACCTATGCGAACCATGTGTAGGACGAAGGAGCAGCACAAAGGCCGAAAGAACTCTTACACCTCGATGCTGTTGGGTAGCCTCTACTTCACGGAACCTCACACATGAACTAGACTAGGATCCAGCTGCGGACTTTGCCATGGCTCGTGAGACCCGATGCGAGCCAAGAAGCAGCCACTGGTGGCTCCTCTTGGCCTCCAACCAACCTCAAGAAAGGTCCCAAGACTCCAAAAGCGAGCTGCAACTCTGATCCCACTTCAAAGAATTGAAGAAAGTCTTTCGGAGGGTGCATGCAGTGCCCAGAGCGAAAGTTGACAAAGGACTTGATGATGCTCATATCCTTCCGCCAGAGAAACAAAAGTTGGAATCAAAGTCCAAAGCCTGCGCCAGCCAGGGGTCCACTAACTGACTAATTAAGATCATCAACGTGGGGGAGCACGAGCGGCGATTGACGTTCACTAGACAAGTTGAAACCGCCAAGGAAATGGGCTTAGCAGATGGTCTTGGAACAATGACCACTCTGACGAACCAAAAGAAGAAAAAAGCGTCAAGACTGTTTTGCAAGCCACCTGTTAGAAAGAACCCTTTGCCGAACACATGTTGGACTACAGTTGCGCAGCATCCCAGAACATCCCGGAACATGCCTCAGTTCTGCCCTGGAGCCCTGATCCTAAGCAGTGCTCTACCTCTCAGTCCCCGGCTCTCTATCTCCTCGGCTGCACACTTGGTATCACTTGTTAGGCACCACCAGCCCACCACAAAACCAATATCTATCTGACACAAACTGTTTGCTGGAGGTCACGCACCCCAACACCTTTTCTCTGCCAGGACTCAGTTGCGTGGACGTCAGCCAAGCCCTGGCAAACAAAGACAAGTCGCACGAGCTACCAGAACAGATTTCCCAGCTACAGTAAGGCTGGCGAGCATACAAGGATGTTGGTCACGATGCAGCAAATCTTGGTGTACTGTAGTGTTTGGATGACGGCTGTTGCACTGCGAGATTGTCGCGTTGTTCGTGTAGTCCATACGGGAGTGCACGTTACGCGATTCCTTCTTCGTTCTCACCTTGCCTATGCATGCACATCACAAAATGAGGCCGGGGCCCCACTGAAGCTGCAAGCTGTCTCCACCGACAGGGTGTGGAAATTCCTTAGGTGGCCCCTGTCTACGCCAATCTACGCCAGGAAGCGCCCGCAACAAGAACATGTTGTCATCAGATTGCAAAGTGTTGGCTTCGCGGCAAGACTACGGAGATTTAGGGTTTCAGGGCTCGTTGACTTGCTTGCTAAGGTTGGATTTGAATCTTCCCTGAACACAACTGCACCTGTGTGATTCTCTGCCCTGGGTCTTCCTAACAAATGCAGCGAAAACCGTCCCCTCGAATAGACAAAAGGATGCTGGGGCTGCCCTGGCTGTCTCGTCCCACGCTCGAAAACTCAGGATGACCGGCCCCTGTATTAAACACATGTACCAGCTTCTGCATCCAGGTGGTATTTTCGACGCGGTAGTAACCTCAGCTGATCACAGTTAAGCAGTTCTGATGAAAATTTTGTTGTATCAGCCGGGCAACCAGGCAAAGAGATCGGTTCCTGCACAGCTCTTGACACTTTGTTCCGAAGACTGCAACAGACCCCAACAAGTTTGCAAAAAAACGGCGCGAACCCCTCAACATCTGAACACTTGCTGGTTTGGCCAGGAACGCACGATGTCCTCCGTTTTGTTGGAGGTTTCGTATCGCAAGCTGTTCTTTTTCAAGCTTGCCAATGCTTCCAAGGACTCCTAATTACGTCTCTGATAATGTCGTTGGATTCCTGGGTGTCACGCTGGCAGTTTCTCAACTAAATCTGCAGAAGCTCTGCAATGTATTGCTCCAATGGATTTCTAACGAGCCCGAAGCTTCCAGTTCCTGGATGCCTGGATGACAATCTGGCATTAGGAAAACTCCCGTACAATTTGGATTAGGCCACGGTTCACGACACAATGCGAACGCAGCGAACTCACTGCAAACAAGAACAGCACAAGCAATTGCCCATAGGATAGCTGAGCGGCATTCGAAATTTACAAAATGGATCATGCATGCAGGGACCATGATGGCCATAAGCGGACAAGTCAAATAAAACACAAACAGACCCGGCTGCACATGCCTGGATCACAGCAAGGTTGGCAATTGGCAGCTGGCTCACTGGACGAACATGTCTGGAGAAAAAACGATCCCAAACTCGATGAAATGAGCGTGCATTCAGATGCCCCGGCGCCCCCCCACCAGTGTCACGCAAGCTTGTGGAGGCATCTGCTCCCGTGCTCCAACGATTGGCAAATTAAAACTCTTTGAGTGAGTTGCGCCGCTGCCTTCATGTGGAGGGCAACCTGCAAATCACATAAGCTCTTCAACGTTCGCTGAACATCATGTTCCTCTTCTGTCGAGACTGCGCCTCCAGCACATGACGAAGTGTTGGTGCAATGACAGGTCCATAATCCAGCTGACGAGTTCCAAAACGCATTGCGCCGGCAATCTGAGCGGACATACGCGCGGCTCGGACAGCACAGTTAATCTGCGTAATGCACCGGTCATGTTGAGCAGTCCTTTCGCGCGGGGATGCCGGCAAACAGGACATGTGCTTTCCCAAACTGATGGAAAAGAAGCAAGGCCTGTGAATCTGCTAGACTCTTGAGTCTAGAGGGCCAATTGCACGCAGACAGCGCTTCATCAAAAACAAACGGAGAAGAAAAGGAAACATGCTTGAAGATCGTTTGTTGCGGCAACTTCCTTCCACGTAAACGCAACGGAGGATACAGATCACGGAAGCACCCGCTACTACTCCTACCCTGCCCTCACAAACAGCAGAGCGACGGAAGATCTTTGAAGCTACGCTTCTTCCCAGCGGATGGTCCGGATCCCTTGCCGAACAATACCACTCAATCGACAGATTGCATGTCCCGGCACGGCATTCCTGAACGGCCAAAAAGCATGTCAGAGGTCAAACTTGGGGCAGAGCCGCGCGAGTCTGCTTCATTCATGCTGCTGGACAAGTTGGCTGTGGACTTATCAGAGCCTCCAGCAGGGGAAGTATGGTGGGTCCTTCTAAGCAGGGCAAGTGACGTCGCAGCACTTCTGCGGTGCAAGTTCCTGCGGTTGAAGCGGAATTCTCTGAGTTCTGGCTTCGGGTAGACATCAAGCGCCATCCGTCTTGCCCCGGATGCGGCCTGCACCTCATGAATTTCTCTCTGCTCCGCAGGCGGGCTGGGTTTGAGAATGCCGTTTTGCCTGGAGGCGCACCGAACCTGCCAAACTCAACACATCAGGTACGAGTGGAAACAACACTTGTACGGCCGAGCTTTGGAAACTCAAAAAGCTCCACCTTCCTCAAGACTAGTCGACACCTGCGTGACGGCGGAAAGGCGGGGAAACCATGACAGAAATAGAAGCGGCAATGCTTGCAGCAAAGAGTGCTGGAAGTTTTCACCGAAAGAAAACCAGGCAAAGCAGCGCAAAATCAAACCCCAGGCAGCGCGCACAGTGCTAATTCCACAGATGTTCTGTCTTTGCTTGCTGTTGCCTTGTTCCCTTCCTTCCTTGCTTCTTTCCTTCCTCATGTTCTGCTTGTCATTTCTTCCTTCCTTGCTGCCTTCCTTCACATCTGTCCTAGTTCCTTCTTTCCTTGATACTGAAATTGCAAGCCACACAAGGTGTCGTGAAAACTTGTAAACTGTCTTTAACTCTAAGGTCGTAAGCCTTTCACTCTTAAATCTAGGATGTCCTGCTGAAAGCATGAATGACCACTAAACCTCAGGAATACAAAAAATTGGCTGGTTTCCCACCCAAAGCCCAGCCACCTGGGCCAAAACAAGTCACTGAAGACAAAACCGCAAACATGTATCCGCTTGAAACTGCAGACAGTCTCCCTGCAGAAATTCCACAGCTCACGCAGCTTGAACAAGATTCAGCATCATGACAACACGGAAGTCCTGAGCAGGGCGGCCCTCTTCGCAGTATGCACCAGCAGGGCATTGGTGGCACATTGCCCCTGCCCAGGAATCCTGTTCAGGCTGTGACTCAGTTCCTAGTAGGCCATGGGCCCCCCAGGGAGCTAGTCCTGTCTGTAACTCTCAGACACTTCAAGCTCAGCACTGACCGCACCAAGGTCATGCGACTGGACCGTTTTGCCTGCACTGCAAGTGGAGGAGCCAGCCCAAGAAGAGCCCCATGTGGCCCTTGTTAGACTGCAAGGACAACCGTCCCGCGTGTGCTACGTGTAGTTCTCACCTGGTGAGTGTCAACCGTACTAGCAATAGTGCTGCTTTGCAGGAGTGTCGATCCCGGGCCTGGAAGACGTTCTTGGCCAGCTGCGTGCACCTGTGAATGAGTGTCTTGCGTCTGGAAGCATGAGACTGTAGAACCCCAAATAGCTCAGAGCTGGCTCTTCCTCTTTGCTCTCAACTGCTCTGGGAAGACTCAGGCTCTGAGATGCACACTCACAAAGCAGATCCTTGAAGCGTGTGCGAGACGTCGGCAACGAGTGCACGCTGCCCCGCACAGTTGGGTCACAACTTGATTTCGCCAGGCTTTCGAGGCAAATCTTACACCCTAGCTCCCACCTGCAAAGTAGAGTGGAGGCTTGCTGGGCAACCTAACCACCTCAAAGAGATCCTGCAACTGGCCCCGGCACGGTACGCAGCCCGTCTCACCCATCGCTTGGTAGTAGCCAGGTGCGCAAGCCACGCAGGTGTAGCGATTCGTTGCCTGGGACATCTAAAACTTAATCATGCGAGAGCAGACTGCGCAATGGAAGGTTATTGCCTCACCAGTCCTTGACGGTCCAATGAACTAACTTGGAAATGCTCCTCTATTGCATAATGATTGCTGCGCATAGCTCTTCATTCCACTCTTTGGAAATGCACGCTCAGCTTTCCCGTCCCAACCACAGTTTTTGCCAGTTCTGTCATGTCGAGCGGATGTGAGCAGCCCGGATTTTTTCAGATACAGGGGGCTCCCCTTTTCAGCGGGTCCTGGGCTTTGCCAATGGTATAGGCCTTAGACGATCAAGTCCGTGAATCTTCACCCAGGAACAGATCCTTTACGGTCACAGCATTTCATAGAATATCCCCAAGCAGGCCCCTGTACAGTCTCTTCCTCCGCTCTTGCCACCCTCCTCCAAAAATGACATGAAGGGATGAGAGCCCATTTTTTTGACATGACAAACATGGCTAAGCCATCCTGCTCTACTCGACGCTACCCTCTACAGACCTTCTGAAACTTATTGCAGCAAGCAAAACTATGAACAGTCTGCCTGACGCTACAGCGCCGGCACCTCAATCTGCCGCCATCTACATATGGCTCATGTGTGCGCACTGCTCAGTAGGTAGATGACTGCCTTCCTGGTGCGTGTTCGCTGATACCTTCCTAAGCAGCCAGGGTTGTTAAACGGGAGATGCACCACACCCGCAAGCCGGTTGGTCTCAGGTGCACCGGCAACACTGGATAATCATGCATATCATGCGTCTAAGGTCAGATGGTAAAGCGAGAGCATGTTGCAAACGAAGCTCTCGGCAGCCGATGGGGCAGGGATAAGTGTCCAGGACCTTTCCTTGGCTCGTCTTGGAGCATTCGGCTGACAGGATAGCCTTGCTGATCTCATCCTAATACCAGAGCCGATACATGGTTCTGCTAATCCAGGGTCAACAGACTTGAGTTTTTCACTCGGCAGTTTGAGAGGAAGGCGGCTCAGAAAGAGAAATAACTTTCCTGACCTTCAGGGCACCGGTCTGCTCTGGCCCATCTACACAGAAACAGATCCACGGCTTTAGACGACTGAGTGGCCTCTAAACTTCTTTTTCAAAGTGCTGAGGTCTGTTGCGGTAAGGATTTGCATGCATTTAATAGTAGTTCAGGGCATCTTTCGGCCAAAGGTGATTCCACACGCTTCGAGATCCTTCTTATACAACGAAATCGCCCTGAATCCCTGCAGATTCATCTTTGAGTCCGCGCTGCATTCTAAGTTCGGTGTTCCAAATTACTGACTAACAAATCTGACAAATGCAGGTGCATGCAGTTTACTAAAGCTCCACTTGCACGGCCTGAAAGAACGCAAGTCCGGAACGCCACATCTTATCCCAAAGTCCTCACTGCTTCTCTCACAAGACTCATAGTCATACCATGACCAAGCTTCGCCCTAACGGCCAAATTCCTGGGGTCAGCGATGCAGAACGAATCTCGCCTCAGGTCCAGGCTGTGCCTATGTCTCAGACGTGAGGTCTTGTTCATACTCCTAATGAATGAGGACAGTGTGGACCGTCCTCATGAGGACACAAGAAGGGGACCCTAGGCTGAGGTATTCCCTTTAAACCTAATCATGATAGCAACTGATACTGTTGTCTGGTTAGGCAAGCTCAGAACAAGTCTTTGAAGACGCCGTGTCCATTACCTTGACATGCACGGGCTGCGCCATGTTGTTGTCCTGTCTTGGTGGTTATCCTATTCAAACACAGTTTAACACTGACGCTAAGACTCTAATCTCCGTACATGGACGCCAGGCCTCAAGAAGGACGAGTACCATGACTTCCCAAATGCAGCAACTGCACCAAGGATTGTCCAAAAAAATGCTGCCTCCGAACTTAAGCCCTCCAATTCAGGTGACCCAAATACTGTGGTCTGCCAAGCTTCGAAGCTCACCTCGGTGTTCACAAAATGGGAGGCATGACAACTGCTGCATCGACAATGCAAGATTTCAGGATACTTACGAGAGCTGAAATGGCCGGCTCCCAAGATCCTGCGTTAGGTAGCCTGAAGCACTTGCAACTTGCTGGGGCCCAGGCTGATGCTGAACCGAGCTTGGCTGTAAAGCCAGGAGTCTGCTGCAGAAAGCGGCTCGCCTGCCGCCAGGCCCAAAAAAAAAAATGCATCTTAGTTTGTACTCGAAGTGTCGGTTGCTTGTACTCGAATCTTGGGTTGCTATCATTGGGAGCTCCTAAACCTCGATGACAAAATATCAGTTCTGCTCTGAATGGCTCGTTGCGCTCAACTGGTAACTTGGCTAACAGATGAGTTTGGCATGGCGCTTCTCAAGTATGGCAAGCCACTTAAATCATAAGCCAAGGTGCTCAAAGCCACCAATGATGGGAGTGTATCCTCAGTGGCAACGACCAAGCAACAGCTTCCAACAATAGTTGTGATTAAAATGCCGTGTATTCAATGAACTCCCCTACGCCGGAATAATTCAAGCTGTAAATTTTCTCACACTGCAACTAGGAGACAACGTAAGCATGAAACCATTGCAGAACGTGCCGAAACTGGACCAGCAGCGTGCGCCCACGATGAAAAATCTTCCCTGCCATCCGCTGATGTTTGTCTTTTGAGATTGGGCAACTTGTGCAGTACATCCAAGTGAAAAAGGCTAGGGTTTCAGCTGGGGTTGGACCAATCGAGTCCATTCAGACAAGAAAACAACAAGGAAGACACCGCAAGGCCCAGGGAACAAAAGTAGCTCAACAGAAGCCTGTCGGCCACCCCCGCCCCCAACACCTCAAAATGCCAAGCCCGCCATTGGTTACACTTAGGAAAGTCGACATGCGGCAAAGTAATGGTAAGTTTTGCTGTTTTGCCCGTCTATGGGTTATGCACGATCTTCAAGCAGCGCCGGCTGCAGCCCAAACGTGCACAAAGCCTGTCTGGTCGGGATCGCAAGTGGGCGGGATGGCGAATTGATTTTTCAGTTTGTTTTTCCTTATTTCTCTCTCTCTCTCTCTCTTTCCCTCTGTCTCTGTCTCTATCTGTCTTGTGCTTCTTAATATACCATGCTTGTGTGTTCAAACGCTATGCGCAACTCGAAGACTGCGCTGTCATTTGCAGAAGCAGCAACTTGTAACATATTAATGCTGAAACAAATACAGGGGCACAATGGCTGTAGAATGTAAAAGTGAAAACACACGTGCTACTATCCTAAAACACTTCTCACAAGCTACACCAAGCAAGCTTTGGCCCTTGCATTCCCACGGACCTTGGCTAGCGTCCCCAGAAAGCAAGCCAATATCCTTGCTAGCAAGCGGCGGCGTGGTCCTTGTTTATGGGGCGCCGTGTTCCGTATCATCCAGATCTGCCGCGGCGCCCAGACCTTCCAAACCGTCCGGACATGGCTCGAAGCTTCGCCCGTTTCGCTGCCGCTCCCGGGCTGCTTGGGTGTGAGGGCCAGGGCGCTGCAGGCCGCACTAAGGGTGTATACCAACCTTCCGGGAACTAAAGGAGCTTCTGCCCAGATGTTGAAGGTAACTGTGGTAAAGCGTGATTGGATTGGAGAATACACGGTGTGAGTGATTGTGAATGTGCTCGTCCTGGTGTGTACCCATGTGGGACGGGATGTGCGCTGCATCATTCCCGTCATCGCTTCGTTGGGGATGACATTCGGGGAACCCAGGTAAGTACGGATTGTCCTCCATGGGGGGTTGTTCGAAGAAGGCGAGCTCTGCGGAGGGGAAATCGTCCAGCTGGATTGAGTTGCCGGATGCGCCGCAGGTAAATTATTTCCTCGGGGGCTGCCCCTCGACGAGGAGCTTGGAGGTCTGGGCGCTACCACATACGGGTGTCTCATGTATCAAGTAGAGGAGCTTGTTCACGACGTTGTCGTACACGTAGTCCACGAGAGGTCAGTTGATGGGGTGTACCCGGAATGGCTCTCGGAGGTAAAACGTCAAACTTGTTATACCCTAAAAGTACACAAATGATTCTTCCGTAGTAATGCTCACATGATCCAGCAAGAAAATAATCAACCATGTGTCAAATCGCGACAGGTAAAATAACCCCGAACTTCGCTCTGGCCGAAATGTCACGCACGACCACATCAATTCGCTCATAATACCTGTGCTTGTCAAAACTATCAAAAGTACTTGGCCGGTGTCCTATTCTCCCCGTGACCTTTATCTACCATCATCCGTACAAAGGTCTATGATGCAGGCAAACGTATTCGCCAAGTGAAACCTGCATCACGTGGCAATCAGAAAAACTAGAGGTGGGCGCTCACTAAACTCCGCCCCATAGTGGAAGGTCAAGACGGCCCAGAGCGTATGTCCATGAAATCGGGTGCAGTGCGTCGTTGTCAGGAGATCCACGTACTGCACTAAAAGGGAACCTCGGATAACAGGTCTATGACCCAAAATTGCTATGCTGCCAAGTTGCTGATCATGCACTCGAGCGCTTCAAACCGCAAGGGCGGCATTATTCGGCTCAAGGCCACGACTCCACTACTGCGGCAACAGGCACCTGGCCCGACTTGACAAACGTCTGGGCAACTGCTTCAACGGGGACGCGGGGCCGCGCCCCACTATAGTTGACTTTTGGCACCACTGCCCCTTAACGACGTCACGCCGGGTGAGCCCGCTCTTGCGGCGCCCAGTCGTTGAGAGCATAAGCCCTCGGGTATACTCCCAAGCGGGCAAGTCCCAACAACACACAGAGAAAGGGATTAACCCTTACGGTTTCGAGCGAGCTCCTAACTGAAGGGCTCGGCGCCTGTTAGTACTAGTAAGATAATTTAGGGCAGAAGCACGCGCTCTCGAAAAGTGTGGTGAGGCGCGAAAGCAGCACGGCGCCCGAGGGCGTCCCTAGGTGAACAAGATCATAGCGAGTCGCGTCGCAAGCAGGGTTGATGGTTTGGAAAGCATGAAGCTTCAGCTTGGGCGCGACGGTGGACTGGTATGTTGGCAGCAGCTGCGCATCAGTTGCTTGCTCAAGAGGCGCGCCACGCGGGCCCAACACGCCTGCTGTGAGGCACGCGGCCCTGTGATCACCCAAGCCCTCCAAGGTTCCGCCACAGTGAGAACGTCTGGGCGTGTGGGGCAGCGGCAGCGGGAGACACGCATGCAGTCGGAGGTCATATTAGTCTATGGTTGTCTCTCTTCTTTCGCTTCTTTCTCTCGATTAATTTGTTCTTTTCACTACCTGCTTCGGATGTTGCCGCATGCTGCCACAATCGAGTACGCGCGGGGTCACGACCCGGCCTGGGCTTGCGCTGCTGCAGCTGCAGCCAGGCCCAATTCACTCCCTGCCGCTAGGCGCATTGTCCAAGCGTTGCAAGAGGCTGACGGGGGGTGGTCCCGTCTCACTCGAGGCGGCAGCGCACTTGCAAGGCCAAGGGTTCCGGGCACCAGCCTGGGAGGACACCAAGGCTGCGCCACAGGATGACGATCCTTATGAGCTCTTGCGGGGCTGGCAGCAGCGAGCTGCCCCCGCCTGCGACGAGCGCGCTTGAGATGCACCTTGCTGACAGAGCGCTGCTGCTGTCTCAGGCTGGGCCGCGCTCGCCAGTGCTCACTGCGCGGCCCACGTCCGCAGAGTTCACAATCCGGTCGGCGCAGTTCCGTGTGCTGCTGTTGCGCCGCACGCGCATGCCCTTCACTCTTGCTCCGCGAACGTTACCGCTTGAGCGTGCAATGGCTCGTGTTTGTCGGGAGGCTGGAGCTCGGGTCTGCCAGCATGTTCGTCTGTCAGAGCTGGAGGTCGTTGCACATGGCCTGCCTGTGTGGCACGGGGCACAGCTGGCCTCAGACGCCACGATCGTAAGCCCCGTCGCGCAGGCCAGCGCGTGCCCGATGCTGCTGTTTGGTGGTTGTCGGCGTTGAGGTTGGCGGTCGCTTCGGCACAGAAACCAGCTGCAGGGATCGCCGCCGCTCTACGAGGCGCCACCCGGGCATGCTGGCAGTGGCCGCGCAGCGGTCGCTGCTAGAGCTGTCCCTCGCAGGGGAGTGCTGCGTCGAGGGGGCGGAGCCGGACTTGCACGAGGTTCTTGCTGACGCTCAGGACGCGCAGGTTCTCGGAAGCCGCCTCCCCCCCGCAACAAAGGTCCTCAAAATGGAACTTGACACAGGCTCGCCAACTGCTGTCAGACACTTCTTGCACCCCCTCAACAGCTCGCATACCCCGAACTACTCTCCACGCAGTCTTCCGAGCCTGTACCAGGGTGCCCACTTCACTCCAGTCAGGCAAAGGGCATTCAGCGTAAGATGCACAAGACTCTGCCCAAAATCACATGGAAGTTTGGAAGCTGACCGAAATCCTACGGACAATTTTCCTTCCCCCACTGCTGCACACACAAGGAATCGGTCTGTTTTACGGCACTTTCTTTTTAGGGTTGGTCGCGTTGTAAGGACTGTGCAAAGCGACACCTTACACTCCTGCCCCGAAGGAGACTGCAGATAGTTCTTGTTACGAGGCTCTTGCATTGTTCATGTTTGCCCGGTGGCTTCCTCTAGGTTTGCGACCTCCCATTAGGTGCCGGTAGCTTGCACTACAATCAGCAGATGGACTATGCAAAGGCTATAGGGGGGTAGGTAACATCCAACCAGGAGCCCCTTGCTCTATCATGGACCGATTCTTCAGGGTTGCACCTTCAGACTTGGCCTGTCTTCGCCCCTGTTGCACAAGCGAACAAAATGTTGAATTTCGGGGTTGTCAACCCAGGCTCCACTTAGCAACAACTTATCGACACCAAATGGCTACTCTCTCTCTCTCTCTCTCTCTCTGCAGGTGGCCGTGCGCATGCAGACTCAAGCCTCTGGAGGTTGATCCGACCGCCCCGGCCGCCGAAGTAGACTTGACCCAGCAGCGTGGAGAAGCCGCCTGCTTGCTTGGGGCTTTTGGGTGTAACAGGGATGCTACTTGTTGTCTGAATTCAGTTGCGACTCAAGAATATGTTGCTCAGGGTCAAGTCGGCTCGAATAGTTACTTACATTCTCGCTCTTGACAAGCTTGACGATTGCCAAAATGCGGAACATCACTAGCCTAACAAAGCATCAGACAGGTTTCTGAGGTCCCTTGTTGCCTGCCCACCTGCTCCTCCTCCCGGTCCAACCTGGCTCACACCAGCACGGAGGAAGTACCTGGTACACCCCATCACATGGCACAGAGGTGTAGGGAGCCCTTGCTCTTTCAGGCTGGATTCAGAACATGCCCCAGACAGCTCAACAATCTTCCGTGTTGAGCCCACAGTGAATGTCACCATTTGTAAGCTAAGATCATACTTCTGCCTTCTGCGGCTGGTATTTCTGCATTGGGGCACAAAAAGCCCAGGCGGCCATCGTCAACGGGATAATGCAGAACCGGAGTGATGCCCGGGCCCTGCAGCTCGCAAGATGCAGAGTGACTGAAGCTTGCCAAAGGCTTTGGCTTTGGAACTCTTCGTGTCAAAACCTGCAGTAGACGACGCAAGGTCTGACACTAATGCTGAGCTTGCAGTTGCACGTCGCTCCCTGCCGAGTCGTATATTGTCCACCTCCCTTTGCTGCAACACACTTGCAAGACCAGAGTTGCAACCCGATTAACGTCTAAATCCAAGAACAAACCAAACAAGTTCAGACAGGCCTGACCCTCTGCTGGGTACTTCCTTAACCCACAACCCAACTTCCAAGCCCAAAAAACCGTACCCTCAGACCTTCAGTCAAGCCCGCCTGAGGGATCTGGTACCGAGCCGAAAAGTTTTGGTAGTTGGACCAGATGACAGTGTTCAGGATCTGCCCCGCAGATGAGAGGTAAAGCTCCTGCCCCAGGGACTCAATAACAGTTATAAGAATAGAAATAATAAATAGTAATAGTAGTAATAGAAACGAAATAGTAGTAATAATAGTGGTAACACTAGCAACAATAACATCAAAAATAATAGTGATAAGAAAACTATGAGTTATTCTTGTTCCATTATTATTACTTAATAAAAACAATAATGAGGATGATAATCGCAATAATAACAATAATAGTAATCGTAATAGTAATAGTAATAGTAGTAATAATAATAGTAGCAACAGGAACTATGCAAAGTGTTCATGCAGTCTCTGCTAGCTCTGAAAAAAAACGCCACACTGACATGGACTCGTCAAAGCCCAGAGTTCAGAGTATGTTCCTGCTACAATTTTGCAGAGCGCAAAGGTCCACAGCCGCCTGGTTTGTTTTCCCTAGGTTAGGGAGCTTCTGAAGGTCAGAGACCTTCCGGCTACAGTGAAGACATGAGAACGTGTGGAGCTTATTCGCAGGCATGATGAGACTATGCCAGGAAGCAAAACCGGGCCACTCAGAAAGCATCCTGAACCGTTCCAGCCAAAGCAATCAAGTGCAGTCCCCTCCCTGCTGCCCTTGCAAGGGTGGCACTGGCGCTAGCCCTATAAAACTAGCTAAGTATGTGTGTCAGAATCCAACACGCCCGAGCTAGCAGAAAGAGCGATGGCAATGACACCCGCTACTCGCCCACTGTCATAATAGTAGCAACAGTAATAGTAACAGTAATAGTAATAGTTACAGTAGCAGTAATAGTAACAGTAAGAGTAATAGTGATTGACTTTGTTGCCGCCTGAATTGAGATGCCGCTCTGCAACATCGCCTGCTTCAGGCATCTTTGCACCTACGTCACTAAATTGGCCTTTCGAATATCTTGGAGTTTGCAGCACAAACACTACACCATTAAAGCGGGAAACGGAGATTTGCAGAATAGACAGTCAAGGGGAGCTTTAGTTGCCGTGCTTCACAAGGCTTTTGGATAAGAGCTGCTTCAGCTGCGCAAGTACCTCTACCAGTAGACCCCACTCCCGCAGAACTCAAAGAAGCTGTCACTGTTGACTACCGAGGCACCACCGCCGCCCTCGCTTCGGCTAACTCTGCTGCGTACTCCTCGATCTTTGAAAAGGGAGGCCATGGTCCCGTCTCCAGCGTGTTGTAGAAGAGCGTATGAGCTGGCACGCGGGTCATGGTACAACGGCCACAACAATCTTACCCTGCGCGCTCTCGACTCTAGAAATCTTTCTGCAACTTCCGCGCTTGGCCTGGCACGGAATTACGCAGACCCTGGTCGAAGGGGAAGGCACTGATGACCTCATCATGGGCATGCAGGGCTACCGGAACCCTCGGTTTGCCTTCACCTCCGGATCTGAGGTGTCCTGCCCTCTACCGCACCCCTTTGCTCTTTGTCCAACACCTCCCCATCGATTTAGCGGAGACCCTACCGGCCTGAATCTGCTGGAGCACACAGGAATTTGCAACAAAGTCCTGTTTTTATTGTGAAGCTCATATGTATTTCTTGCAGCATATTGTACACACATGCGAAGAGCTCCACCGGGCGACCTACGGTTCAGGTCTAGCAGGCAAAGCACCGCAACAATATCAGTCAGGGCCCAACATTTACAACATCCCGCGGCGCCGAGGCTGGTTCATGTGCCATTTTGCGCGCGATGCTCTGCTTGCGACCTTCCGACAAGTTCCCGGCAGATCGTCCTTTGCAGTCACCCGTGCATACGGCGAAGGGGTATGAATTTCTATGGCATAAGATTGCCAGAATTGGCAGTCAAGCTGGCTCCCCTTGTCGTAGTAGCATTCCACGGCAGTGGCGCCCTCGACTCTGCCATCTCCATCACAAACTACCTTCAAAATTCCCGGCTGCGTGCATCTTGCCCCAGAGAGGTTCGCCTCAGCCTTCCCTGCTATATGCCGACAGGCAACAGACAGGAGTATTCAAAAACTGACGCAATGGCGCATGAAACGCCATTTTTGGTCCCAAACGGACATAAGTTCAGAACGCACTCACCCTGTGGGATCAGGTCTGTTTGCCTCACCTACTGCTTCGTAATATCTCGACGAAGCCAGGCAAGCGAGGCAGACCCAGAGGCCGATCCATGTTTTTGGAAGCCCTGAACAGCAATGGATCCTGATTTAGTAGTTCTACGATCTAGGATGAGGTAGTAGGCTCCTAGCAACAATAAATCACGATTTGATTCTGGATCTGATGTACGCTCGTAGAGCTGACACAATCTCAGAGACGTATTCCAATTCATGTCTAAAGTCCTTTAGAGGCCCCTAGCCACCGTGAGGTCACAATTTGAATCGGGGATCTGAGGTCCGAGACAAATCCAACTCGTGCCCAACCATCTATGTAGGATTTCCTAGAGTCCTATAGGCCACTGGCCACCGTGAGATCACGATCTAATCGAGGATCTGAAGTGTGCTCGCAGAGACGGATCTTAAAGGGTGGAGTTGTTTTGGGTGACCCCTTGTTTCTTGTTTGACACTTTTTGTTGTTTTGGTGCTGGGGGCCTGAAATCAAAGGACGCCTCACACGAGAGCGCGATTCTGAAGCAAAAACTGTGAAGACTGATGAAAAATCATCAGAAATCACGAAAATCGATTAAAAATGATGAAAATGATAGAAAATGATATAAACATGATAGAAAGATAATAAAAAATTATAGCAAATGACCAAAAATGATGAACAACGATGAAAGCGATGAAAAACATGGGAAATGATAGAAAAATGATGAAAATGATAGATAGACCAAAGATGAAATTATGAAAAATCATGAAAACAAAGGAAAATTGTATATATATATATATTGAATACTGAAAACAATGAAAATGATAGGACGGTGATAGAAAAATGATGAAACAGGTATGGACAATTCTGGAAATTGTGAAAGTATGACAGATGATAAAAAAATGTGAAAGTGACGAAAGCGATTTAAAAATGATCAGACATGATGAACAGTGATGACTAGTGATGAAACATAATGAAAGAATGAAAATCAAAGAAAATGCAGAAAATCATGAAAGTTATGAAAACCATAGATGGCATTAAAATTATGAAAAATGATGATGGTGAAAATGATGGAAAACGATGAAAACGCGAAACAGCTATGAAAAGTAATGTTGAAAAATGATGGAAATTTCTGTGTTAAGAAAAATATTAAAATGATGAGAACATGAAGTATGGACGACATTAAAAAAGGCGGAAGTGTGGGGGTGGCGGGGGGGGGCCCCCCGATTTGCAAACAAATGATCTACATAACCCGACCCCAGCAAGCTTGGATGGCCTCGGTAAGAGTGTTTATGTTTTTGTTGTCTTGTTTTTTGTTGTTTGGTCGTTTCGGTTGTTTTTTTGTTATTCGGGCGGATTGGTGTGTGTTTTTTGCTGTTTGGGCGTGGGCGCGGTCACCGCCCAAACAGCAAAAAATAAAATACACCCCCGCCCAGACAGCAAAAAAAAACACGCCCCCCCGCCCAAACAGCAAAAAATGAAACACGCCACCGCCCAAAGCGAGGGCGTGTTTTATTTGTTGCTGTTTGGGCGGAGGGCGCCTTTTTTTTGCTGTTGGGGCGGAGAAGGGGAGTTCACTCACTTACTGGCCTGCCTGGC